GTGTAAAAAAAACCAAAAACCAAAAAAAAAAAACACCACACCCCTATCTGGGCACACTGTAGGCCACTTGTCATATCAATAAGCGATCACTACTTGCTTTGTAAGGCTCTAGCTCCCTGGTTGTCATTCAACACAGCTGGTCTTGTTTTAATGAACCAGAACAATTATGCAACTAGTAAACTTAGAGGATGAGCACCACATGATAATAGTAGGTTCAGGTCTGGGTAGGAGTATAATAAAATATAAAAATGCCAGTCCTTAGGTAAAGTGGAATTCCAGTTTATGTCTAACCAAGCTCAATCTGATTCCACCAAGCTCCTATTCTAACTACCCTGTAGAAGGAAGATGCTTACACTTAGCCATTCTCAGAGTTCTGGTCCAGTCATGTGATTGGCCCCCAGTGGCAGCTTCTGAGGACAGGAGGGACAGCCAACAACCGATGCCCCATAGCAACCCTATAGGTGACATCACTGCCCAGGCATTCCATCCATTGTCCATGTTCTCTCCTTACCCCTGAAGCTAGTTGCTGGAGAGATCATGTAACTGGACTGAAGCTCCATGAGAATAGGAATGTATAAATCACCATTCTTCTACAGGATAGGTAGAAGAGGCATTAGAAGGGGGGTGGGAGCAGGTTTAGCTAGATATAGACTAGAGTTCCACTTTAAAGCTTGATGTTGTATGTATAATACAATACTATGATCTATGAGACTGAGGGAGAGATTAAATAGAATCTTTTTTTCCTCCAATGCCATGGCTTTTCCAATCTAAACTTACTAACTGGGTTCTCTGTCAGGAAAGGACTATTTTCAGTTAAATAAATTATAAAATGAATACTGTATATAAAAAAAATTATAGAAATATGCATGATATATGCAATAGGAAAGCAGTGAAAAGGAAGCAGCAGAAATGACAGCTGTAGAAATCCTGAAGGGTCTTACCACTGCATGGTTCTTCACATAGCAAGGCTTGCACACTGGCTTGTCATTCACCATGACATAAATTTCACCAGCCAAGACACAATCACAATCAAAGCAACAAAAATGCTTCAGATGCCAGTTTTGTCCTTCCGCTTGAGTGTATTCATTGCTGAAAATCAGCTTAGGAAATAAAAAATAAAAATATTTAAATTACAGAACATTGTGTTTTAAGGAGACCTAATTGTTGCTTCTTCCTTTGTGCTTTTTTAAATCAAAGCACTAGGTGTCGCTACAGCACTATTTTCAAAATAATTAAACCTGCCATCTAGTGGCTGGTAAAGAAAAATACATGGATGATGAAAATGACAGTCAAGTAACAGCATAAAAATTACATTTTTATATACAAATAAGCTTAAGATAATAATTTTTAAACATTACCATTAAACACTATTTAAAAACACTTGCTGCCATTAAATTTACATTAAAGATATTTTTACACAAGCTGCATCTTTGCAAAACACATAAAAACACAGATTGTGGAGATTATAAATTACTGAGAATACTAAAAAAATCTTTTTTTAAATTTTACATATATACAGTTTAAATTCTACTAAAAGACTACATCATTCTTCCCACAAGTGCCAGGAAACATACTTTACATTGAAAATCAGACCAGAAATGTAAGGAAAAAAAAAAAAAAAAAAAAAAAAAAAAAAAAGGACTATTCGAATAGGTGCCTGGAGTTTGCATGTTCTCCCTGGCCTGTGTGGGTTTTCTCCGGGTACTCCAGTTTCCTCCCATGCTCCAAAGACATGCTGGTAGGTTAATTGGCTCCTGTCTAAATTGGCCCTAGTATGTGTATGTATGAATATAAGTTAGGGACCTTAGATTGTACACTCCTGGAGGGTCAGGGACTGATGTGAATGTACAATATATATGTAAAGCGCTGCGTAAACAGACGGCGCTATATAAGTACCTGAAATAAATAGGTGGTTTTTTTTTTGCATATTGTTTGGTGAAGTATGGCAAAAAACAGTTTTAAAAAAAAAAAACATTTACACACAAATAATTTTACGGTGCCTTATACGGCACATTCTAAAGTTATTTTTCAAAGTAGCTGCTGGTAACAGGGCAGCAGTCCCAGTCTAAACTATACATAATTTTACAGAATTGCTGTATCTAAAATTTCCTGTAAGTGCTCTGAGATTACTCAATGGCAGAACCTGGAACAGCTCACAATTTTCCTGTTGAGTATATATATATCTGCCTTAGAAGGGCTACTCAATGTAGGCCTTTTCACATGCAGGAATAAATAGGAATGGAAAACAAGTGCGTGCACACACACAGTACTTCCTAAACATTGCTGTCTACATAGAATGTCAATCAAATTAGCATTCAGGTTTGTACTTTGCAATTCTTTAAGAAAAGCTGGTATAAAGAGATTGCATTTTTCAGTTAGGAGGTTCAGTTGCTCTAACAACTAGCTTTGTATAGCCTTTCTTGGGATTTTTTTTCTATAATAAAAGTATAAGAACAAATGTACCAAATTCTATAGAGTAGATTCAACTTTTTTTTTTTTTTAAAGTTCCATCTAAGACTGTGTGGTTATCATAATTATATTTGCCACTGCCACCCGCTTCAAAAATCTCAGGACTGTAATAATGTTTGGGGCCTATGCTTGCATCAACAACTATAAAAATGTATTCAAAAAACAAATTTAGAAAAATTTAAGAAATACTGTACTTGCTTATAGGATATGCTTCAATAAAACTATCTCTACATACAGTTTTACTAGGCAGAAGGTCTACCTTAAAGTTTAAAAACCAGGGCCATAATTTTCAAAGCTGTACAGTGCTAAGTATGTGCTTACTCTTTACCATGTAGTCGCTTACGTTTTCTTCAAACCGCTAGAAGAAGAAGCTGCTCTTAGTTTTTAGCAGTTTCCCTTGTATTTCTGCCCCAGGCCAAAGTCAGTGCTAGTGTCATGTCTCTGCCCCCCTTCCATGCGGCTTGGTATTTCATAAAAATGCAGGGCAAAAAAAAATGTAATCACAGCCTGCATTTTGTGAAAAAAAAAAAAAAAAAAGAAGATGGCCACTATATAATTTTAGTCTCTGACCTTTAGTTTCACTCCCTTTTTTTTTTTTTTTTAACCAAAGGACAGGAGTGAAACTAAAAAGTCTGAGACTGTATATTTGTATAGGTTTACTATGCTTGGGCTATGTGTTATATAACCATACCATTAATACATATTAACAGTTAAACAACTTGCATTAAATTTATTGTGGCAATTTTTTTTTCTGTAAACTGAGAAATAAAGCTGTGTCTTTCAGATACAACATACAGTTACAACGCAGTGGCTTGTGCGTGGAGCTGTGTGGCCCAGCAGGATCAGCACAGATGATTATGTATATATTATTGTTTACTGCCTGGTATCAGGGCTTCAGCTGCTATATGTTTACACTTTACCATATATCACAATTTTCTCAAGCACAGGTCTATATATTTGAATAGAGTTTTTTTTTTTTTTTTAATTTAAAAAAAAAAAACACTATGAAATGTTACCTGTGACATTTCAATACAGTTCTATTAGCTGTGCCACAATGAGAGGCAGTAGACTGCCTCACACTGCGCTGAAAAACAAAACAAAACAAAACAAAAAAAAAACAACTTTTTTTCAGTGCAACGGTATAAGCTGTGCACACCGGGGACCAGGCCTGCCTTGTCATGTGGTGGGACTGCGCTGGAGTAGCTACCTAAATTTTCAATCTTTGAGGAAGTCGCAGTGGAGTGACGAAACATGGCAGGGGTGTGGTCATGTGACATCACACGAGGTGGAACTGGAAGTGATGTCTAAGTACATGCAACTATGCTGATGTTTTACTTTAAGGGGGCAACTGAGGTTTTAAAGAGGCAATTACCGTACAGGATTTAGTGCACTATATTTGTAAGTGCATTTCTGGCAGTTGTTTTTTTTAAATATGGGATTATATGAAATATACTGTACTACAAGAGCAAATTTTTATTTTTTTATTTAGCGGAGATTGCAGGAATATACCTGGGAGAAGATCGATAGATCTGGTGTTGGAAAGTGCATTAGCCCAATTTACAGGGCTAGGCACAATTTGACCTAACTTATAAGTGGGTCAAACTTAGAGGCAAGTGGCTTGAGTGGAAGGTGGAGGATCACTGCACAGGTGATAAGGATTGGCACAAGTGGGATTTATGAATTGGAGTAGCAACAGTTAAGAGAAACTAATTAGAACATACAAGACTTGTATCACTTGGACATTTTATTTGTAAATGTATGAGAATGGAACTTTGTATGTACTTTTTCTCATGCGCGCACAAAGTAGACACTGATTAGGATGTATGTTTAAATTGCAAAAAATATTATAAGGTTGTTGTGCTGCACTTGTTTTAGTTTATTACAGCATGATCTTTCCCCCTTAACCCAGATCTTTGTAGTCAAAAAAAAAAAAAAAAAAAAAAAAAGTGTGTTTAATTGGTTACAACAGATGAACAAACAAAACTAGCAAAGTAGCGCAATACATTTTAAATCAAAAATGTGAATATAATGCAAGATTCACAAAAAAAAAAAAAAAAAAATATATATATATATATATATATATATATATATATATATATATATATATATACACATATATATACATATATATACATATACATACATATATATACACACATAGAACTAGATATGAATTCAATTTAGAAAATGTAACATACCAAGCCAATTTAAGAGGCATTGCAAAGAGAATTCTTTTAACTGCGTTGTTGAAGTTCAAAGCACTAGCAAAACTTCAATAAATATTTACCAACATGAATAAAAAAAAAAAAAATAGGTGAGTTGTAATATTACTATCAAAAGGATGTTACCTCATCACAGCCTGCACAGCGTGGCTTCTCACTGTCGCAGTAATGGCGACCACAGTATAGCTTCCCCTTTTTCCAGAAGTAGATCATGTCAACTAGGAGTTCGTTGCAGGTGTTGCAGACAAAACAAGAAGGATGCCAAAGCTTGTCATAGCCAGCCCGCTCTGCATACACGGCAGGATCACCCTCCCTCATGTTCTCCTTGCACTTGAAGCAATACTGTGGACAACAGTGATAATGTAAATTATAGCAACAAAAACATCTTGCAAATAATAGTTTTCATGGAGACCGCATTGCTTCTAATATAAAATAGTATACAGGTAACCATAAGGCTTTAAATAAAGAAACAAGGCTATATAAAAGCATTCTAAAACATATTTGATACTGTGCCAGCAGCAACACATGTTGTTCTGCAACCTACATGTTTCACAGCTCCAAAATGCCATGCACACAGTGACATGGACCATCGATGAGCTCTCCTGGGACACTTCCTAATCCTGCTGTGATTTAGAGGACTCAAGCTTGCTACAGGAATTAAGCAGGCATAGCACAGCTATTTTCACAGGAGTTCTCAATGTCTCAACACTCCCTCCCTACGCAACAATAAAATGCTAATTAGCAAACCAATTGTGAGCTGGGGTCACCATGCATACTTCGCCCTCTCAATCTTTTAACTCTTCCTTGTAGTCACAAACATCCCATTGTCCAGCCAGAGGAACGCCTCAGATGGAAAAATTGCTTCAGTCGTGGCAGTTGCTTACAAAGCAAGATATTCCCATAACTGGAGATTTGCTTCTAATGAAGTTTGGCGAGTAATGAGGATGTTCTGCGACACACAATCCTTTCCAGGCATGACTGAAGTCTGGATCAGCGAAAGAAAATAAACACAAACAAGCACTCTGCGGGGGCTGCTACACATGGACAGATCAACAACCTGTAAACACAGGCAAATATATTCACAGCGACAAGATCAATGCATGGGAAGAGGTTTTAATGGTGCTTAGGATGGAGTTTAAAAAGTGGGTGCGAGCACCGATTTCGTAATGGTGCACCATAAATTATGGAAAAAGAATTTGGAATATGCGTTGTAAATGAATGCTTTAAAATAGCTGTCTTGCACAATAACTACAACAGATAAGGGGGAAAAAAAAAAAAAAAAAAAAAAAAAAAAAAGAGTTCTTACAATCACATGTAAAGTAATGAGATGGCAACTAATGAACACACCTATTGGAAAAGTGTGAAGAAAAAAAAAAAAAAAACAAAAAAAAAAAAAAAAAACAGAAAACAAAAAAAACACCACACACAAAATCTGTTATGATGGGTACATCCAAAAAGGAGTCTGTCACAAGAAAACAAAAAAAAAAAAAAAAAAAAAAAAAAAAAATTAGGAATAGATGCAGGTATAGCGGCCTACAATTGTAGAGTTACATCTTTCGAATGGGGCCAGACGAAGGGCATATCATGAAATTAGTGGGCCCTAGTGATAGAGAAAAATAGAAATGTGGCACAGAGCACACCACTACAAAAAAGGGGCGTGTGGCGTAAATTGCCCTAAATATTGGGTGTTGCTTAAAGGGGGTGTGGTTAGAGTCCAATATGACTTACATAGTGCAGAAAGTGATTATGTTAAATAGGGAATGTACAGTGCAGAGTTTATGGCGTTGGGTAGTATGTGCAGGGAGAGGGACTATGGAGTGTATGGCAGTAAATAATATGTGCTGGGAGAGGAGTGTATGGCGATGGGTAGTATGTGCACCTAGAACATCCCCCCATCCACAGCTCACCCCTCTGCACCTAGAACACCACCCTCATCCACAGCTCATCCCTCTGCACCTAGACCCCCCCCCCCCCCCCCCTGCACCTAGCCTAGAATATCTCAAGCTCCCCCCAAGCTCTCAGTGCTCAGCTGATCTGCTCCTCTCACTCCTTTGCACATAGAAACACCCCCCCTTCCTTCCCCATCTACTCCTCATCCCTCTGCAGCCAGCAGCCTCCTTTCTTGTCCAAAGAATCGCCTTCAGTGCTGGACGTTTGAAAGCCCCTCTCAGGGCCCTGCTTCTCCTCCATACAGAAGCCAACAAGGCTCTACATGCAGTGCTGGGCACACGTCAGCAGAGGAGATCAGTGCAGACACTGCAGAGGAAGCAGAGGGGCAATTACAGAATGATGCTCTGGGTCTGTGGGAGAGAGAAACCAGCTTTCAGCTGCTGCAGGGAGAGACACACAGGAGGACCAGTGGTACCCCCCTATTGGCCCTTCTGTAGTAGTTTCAACACTGCCCCTGACATGTATCATCCATGGGTGCAGTGTCTGTCAGAGCACAGTGGGCCCCCCCTCGGGGCCCTTGTTCAGTGAACACTGTATTACAGCAAAAACCACGTGGCCAAAAAAAGGGAACTGCCTGAGGAGCTCAGACACAGGAATATTGCAAGGCACAGATTTGGAGAAGGCTACAAGAAAATTCTGCTGCACTGAAGGTTACCAAGAGCACAGTGGCCTCCATAATTCTTAAACTGGAAGAAGTTTGCCATAACCAGGATTCTTCCAAGAGCAAGCCACTTGGCCAAATTGAGCAATCAGGTAAGGACCTAAGGCTGGCCGTACACTATACAATTTTCTGTCCAATTTCCTCTAGATTTACCTTCAACTATATAATGCAAGGGCCTGTCTAATTGGATACAATTGAAAGCGTTGTTTAGGTTTAACCTCATATTATATTTTTTTGGTATATCTAAAGCAAAATTCTTAAACAAAAATTGTATAGTGTATGGCCAGCCTTAGTAAGAGGTGACAAAGAACCAGATTGTCACTCTAACTGAGCTCCAAAGATTCTGTTTGGAGTTGGGACAAACTTCCAGAAGGAAACCATCACCGCAGACCTCCACCGACCTAGGTTTTATGGCAGAGTGATTAGATGGATGCCTCTCCTCAGTGCAAAAACACATGAAAGCCCACTTGGAGTTTTTGGAAAAGTCTAGTCATTTTGGCATAAAGCCTAGATCGGTGGAGGTCTGCAGTGATGGTTGTCCTTCTGGAACTTTGTCCCATCTCCACATAGGATCTCTGGAGCTCAGAGTGACCATCTGGTTCTTGGTCACCTCTTACTAAGGCCCTCCTCCCCCATTTGCTCAATTGAACGAGGTGACCAGCTCTCAGAAAAGTCCCGGTTGTGCCAAGCTGCTTCCATTTGGGAATTATGGAGGCCACTGTGCTCTTGGGAACCTTCAGTTCAACAGAAATGTTTTTGTCTGAGCTCTGCAGGCAATTCCTTTGATCAATTGGCTTTTGCTCAGATATAGTATGCATAGTCAGCTGTGAGGCCTTTTACAGTATATAGAGTGTGCCTTTTCTAAATCCTCTCCAAATCAGTTTAATTTAAAAAAACGCACCTCCAATTAAGGTTTAGAAACATTTCAGCAACAATTAAAAAATGGTAGGCATCTAAACTAACATTTCAAAGGGTTTGAATACTTCTGCCAAAATGTGATATTTTAGTTTTTCCTTTTTCATTAAATTTGCAAAGATTTCTAAAATTCTGTTTTCACTTTGTCATTAAGTGGAACCGAGTGTAGATTAATGAGAAAAAAAAAAATTTAAATCTAAAAACAAAAAAACTGTAGTATCAAGTATGCAACATACCAAAATTGAAAAAAAGTGAAGGGGATCTGAATACTTTATGAATGCACTGTTACAGAGCCATGTATGACTAGCCATAAGCAAAGATCATAACAACTCAATCTACAAGAACCTGCAAAAACAACATTCAGATATTAAAAAACTATGAAAATGGTGCAGCGCTGCTAATATTCATTAAGACAATGCATAGGAAGCAAATAAAACCCCACAAGTGAATCAACCCCCTTAGTGACAGCATAAATAGCATATATCAATCACTGGTGTCAAGGTGCAAAATTGACACACACTTAGTAAGTGACTAAGGGGTGATAAACAGTCCAATATGAGCACACAGGTGAGGAACTCTTCACACGTGGATGTGTCATACGTGCCACAGGAATCCCAAAACAATCCGAGTGCCCCCTCACCTCCTTGCAATGACCTCAAGGGCCAACCAGCTTTCAACATAGTCAGGCAATCTCCTGTTGATCCCTTCAGTATGACCGGAATGATGGTAACTTTAGCCAGACCTCTTCCACCGCTCTAACGACACCTCTATCGTCCACTCAGAGACATAAACCAAACAGGCTCCATAGTGCAATATATCCAATTTATTTAAATAAAAAACAAAATACCCACTTACATGTAGGCAATCCGACCGCACACAGTAATCGGCTGTCCTCCTGACATGCGGCTTCATGGAGTCCCAATATGGCGCGGACGCCGGAAGTGACGTCACCGCGCGTCCCGGAATAGACAATGAACGTCATTGTCTATTCCGGGACGCGGTGACGTCACTTCCGGCGTCCGCGCCATATTGGGACTCCATGAAGCCGCATGTCAGGAGGACAGCCGATTACTGTGTGCGGTCGTTTGCCTACATGTAAGTGGGTATTTTGTTTTTTATTTAATAAATTGGATATATTGCACTATGGAGCCTGTTTGGTTTATGTCTCTGAGTGGACGATAGAGGTGTCGTTAGAGCGGTGGAAGAGGTCTGGCTAAAGTTACCATCATTCCGGTCATACTGAAGGGATCAACAGGAGATTGCCTGACTATCTGTTGAAAGCTGGTTGGCCCTTGAGGTCATTGCAAGGAGGTGAGGGGGGCACTCAGATTGTTTTGGGATTCCTGTGGCACGTATGACACATCCACGTGTGAAGAGTTCCTCACCTGTGTGCTCATATTGGACTGTTTATCACCCCTTAGTCACTTACTAAGTGTGTGTCAATTTGCACCTTGACACCAGTGATTGATATATGCTATTTATGCTGTCACTAAGGGGGTTGATTCACTTGTGGTGTTTTATTTGCTTCGTATGCATTGTCTTAATGAATATTAGCAGCGCTGCACCATTTTCATAGTTTTTTAGTTTATGGTATATTGGTACATAGTAGGTGTTAGCAGCTTTTATTACTATTAGGGTCATCTAAGCGCAGGGGTTCTTTCATTCATTTTTTCAACATTCAGATATTCCCTTAATATATATTTTTAGAGCATTCTCGCCTAGAGCAAGCCCACACCTTCACTGACCTAACACATGCGGAGCAATGCAAGCATGCTTTGATAGACTGCTTTAATTGTACCTACACGTATGACCACCTAATCATTTACTGTGTACAACCTGTTAAATGACATTTAGGACAGTATGCTGAAGCACTATCATATTTGCCATTTAAAAAATAAAATTTTTCCATCTTTTGTTTTCTCCCATCAGAAGTCCATTTGATTGAATGACAAACACAGGAGCACAACTGAGAGACAAGGACAGAGTTTTGTCAGTTTAACATAGAAATGCCTGCACACAGAACTTCATGGTAGGATTACCAGTAGCCATTTCAATGAAAGCTGCACATTGAAAAAGAAAAAAAAAAAAAAAAAAAAAAAAAAAAAAAAAAGGGGGGAGGAGGAGAATGCCAAAGTTTCACTGGAAAGGACTGCAGCAAGTAAAGCTGATCATACATGGATCAAAATTCAGCCAATTCATCAGGGCCCAGCTGAATTTCAATCTATATATGGGCAGGGTGCTTGTACAGAAGTCAATCTACCAGTCAACTTCTGTAATCTGTTGGATTTTTGTGCTCATTGATCAGCGCTGCTAGTCTAGTCTTTCAGTTGTAAAAATAGCTTTGCAGGGAGGGGGATTCCCCCCATCAACCTTGAATGTGTGGATATGGGGGGGGGGGGGGGGGGGGGGGAGAGTGTAATTTTTTTTTTTTTTTGTATTCAACCGAGTGGTTTGAACAAAAAAATAAAAAACAACATCTATGGACTGCTTTAGTGTAATGTAATACTTATCTCTGCCCCGTTCTTTCAAAGAAAAGGCTGATGCCAGTACAGCAAAACCAAAGTGGTTTCTGGTTCCTGGGCACTGTGCTTCCAATCCCTGTCATTATGTAAACGGAATCAGTCCCTGGAATAGTAGCACCATAGACTTCTATTGAACCTACTAGTTCAAGTCACAAATTATGGGAATCGGAAGCAGTCAGGTTGTGATTCTGCTGCATTGGCATCAGTTTTCAGGGATTTGTGCCTAAGAGTGTATGACAAACCATCATTAAAAATGTTAATGTTATTTAATTACCCAGGGGAAAAAGTGTTTGGTTCTGTTCCAAAATCGGTCCCTAAGCTTTGAAGCAGCATGGTTGGACAGGTTTCCCTCTCCCCATTCAACAATGCCAGTGGAAGGAAGATGGATTAGGAGGTGCTGCTATTCACAAAAGATCATACAGCCAGCTGTATCTCCATCAGTGGCTAACTTTACATACATATACACAGCCCAGACAATGGATCACACAGAGCTACAGCACTGGGTGAACTTTGTTTTATTAACAATCAGCCTTGTTGGCCTGTGTGATATATGGCATCATCCTGACATTGCTTCTTCATTCATAAAAGCTCACACAGGGCTAGAGCGTTGTGTGACCCATAGGCTGAGCTATGTACACAGCTGCAACACTGTGTGATCTTTCACTGTCACAAATGAACAATTATTGCTGCTTGAGCGTTCACAAGAGTAAAAGATCACGAGGACGAGGACGAGGAGGACGAGGACGAGGACGAGGAGGAATTTACATATCGTCAGTCATTCAACGCTGAAAATAGGTGTCCAGATTTTACAGCAACATACACTCCCAAAACGCAACTTTTTTGATATCGAGGTTGTGCTTTGCCAGCTTTTTGTAGCCCTTTTCCAACTTTTGAGATCTGTTGGTGCCATCAATTTAAAAAAATTACTAAAATGTTTCTTAAAATGAAACAATTTTCTCAATTGAAACATTTGATAAATTTTCGATTTTAGTCTGAATAAAAGATCGGTTTACGAAATCTGGAAATCATTGCATTCTGTTTTTCTGCAGCTTTTACATAGCGTCCCAACTTTTTTTGGAATTGGGGCTGTGAAAAAGGGAAAAAGAAAGGGCAAAGTTTAGGATGGGACAGATGTTACTTTTACCTTTAATTTGTGCCTCTGCTTTGTAACATATCAAGGGGAAAAAAAATAGGATATAAACCTTTCAGTACTTGCACAGCATTCATGTACCATAGCTCTGTGGTTCAGGGGTGCAAAAGCAGAGATGGCTTGAGGCTGACATACAAGTAAGTGAAATCTGCCTATAGCTGGTGTGCCTTTCTATAGATGCTGCTGCAGAACATGTTCATCAAATACTTCAAAGTGAAATCAGTAGCTCAAATATTACCAACAGTTGTGCAAAAATCTTTTCTGTTCAGAGCTCTGCGTGGTATGTTTCTTCTCATGTTCTTTACTGGAATACCGAAACTCTGTAGGTCATTTATTCATTTCAAAGGAAGGATAACTTAATCGGTTATTTGGACTTCACATATTTCTGTTTTAGTCCAACAACATACTTTCCACTTCTATAAATTTTGCAAGTGGCGATATAAATACTACGTGACACAAATCTAACCACAAACTATAAAATATGTCATGTTTTTTTTCTAGGATTTAGCTGGATAGAAAATATGAAACAGGACCACTGTCTGGTCAGGAGAAAAAAATATCAGCAGTTAAATAAATCATTGGAGTTTACATACTGTATACCATAAGAATCATACCAACATTACTTCGGTTACAGAAAGAATAAAAGGTTTAAAAATACAGGAAATAAAAAGTAATAAATTAAAAAAAAAAAAAAAAAAAGCAGTTAAGAAAAGGATTTTTGACTAATAGTATAAATACTTTTCCAGTGCAACAATAAGTAAAGCAAGGCATGGATTTAGAAATCACTAGCCCGTTCACAATTTATGAATTGCTTACTGGAGGGGGGTAATCAAATACAGACCCACTGCAACTAACCTTCTGATCTGATCAGATATCGGAGGCTGAACACTAAAATTTTCAATCATTTTCAAAAAAGGTCATCAGTTTTGAAAATTGTAGGTTTTCTTACAACTCAAGCTAGATTTTGGGCTTTTTAATCATTAGGTTTCATTAATATTTCTGAGTGCAAATCAGAATGAAAAGGGACTTTCTGAAACTAATTACTACCCATGCACTCTATTAGATCTCTGTACTGCAAAAAAAACCCCCACAAAACCCAATCAAAAACCAACATACACACTCTTCCCCCCCCCCCCCCAGTAGATTTCCAAAATGTCACAATAAAAATTGTACCCTCTGCAGTCAGGACCGGACACAGCCTTTGCAAAGGTCAGTATATCGTTCCGCTAAAACATACCAGCCTCTTCCAATGGACATTTAAATAAGGGATTTGACAATGCATGATGATATATCCACGCTGGGGTTGGCGGGGGGGGGGGGGATGAAATGCACTCAGAGACTGCCAACAGAAGAACCAATACTGTAACAGCAGCCAATTTATTTTACTGAAGAGAAAGATATGGCATTCTTGAAATTTTCAAAAGAGATGAGTGTACTTTTGTAAGTAAACAAAATACATTTAAAAACACACACACACACACACACACACACACACACACACACTAAAAACCCAATATTCATACATGGCACTTCTGTAAAAACAAAATAAGACTTCCATGTTAGTTTTAGTGCATGTGAAGCAAAGAAACAAAACATTAAACATGCTTTATTCACATTGTACTCACGTAGGCAGATCCTTGTGGTGTAGCTGCCTTGTTTTCTGGCCCCTTGACAGTTGTGAGGGTGCTCCGGGCCCCACTGTCAGGCTTGCCCTTGTCACCTGCCTGTGCCTCTACGTCTTTGGGCAACTTGACATCTCCCACACCAAGGACTTCATCTTTGTATTTCTTCACAAACTGCTCCATCTGCTTCACCTCATTAGGAGACAACTCATGGCACTTGGAAGGATCCTGATCATGAGCAGGCAGCTGTTTAGCCAGCTGTTTCTTTCTGTACTGGGCTCCTTCTGAACCAGCTACAGGTTGTTTGTCTTTTGGAATCAGTTCCATGTAACGCCTGGCCTAGAACATGCAAAAGCAAATTTAAAGAACGAATGGCATCTCCATGACAAATACACCAACAAAAACCATAAACTATGACAAAAAGCAAAGAAAATGCATATTCAATAACATGAGTATTATCATTTTTCAACAAGGAATAGTCTGAATCTGATTGATTCATTTTGTAGATAAGCCTTTCACACATGCTCAGCAATGTTCCTTAAAAATGTATTGGGAGTTTATCTTCACCAAAATGACATATATTAGATTTCGTAGTAGACAGAAGTTTGTGCGTTCTGAACTCTACATCGAAATCTATTCATGTCATGCTCCCCATTTGCACTTTTGCAGAAATGGTATAACACTAACTGTGGACACCGTCTCCCAAAGTATTATACTGAACGGCAATTAGAAAACAGTGATGAACATATAAATCAAAGAAAATAAGTGAGCGCTTTAAAGGACGAGCAGCTGAAACACATAGGACAACCAAAAAAATTCCTCACATAAATATAAAAGTAAAGTGCAGCGCTAAAGAAAACAAAAAACAAAATAAAATATAAACGCACATAAAGTCAATAAAAATAAAAATAAGTCCGCAAAAATATGAGGGAGGGGGGAAGGGGAAGGCCCTAGGCCAAAAAAAAAGTCTCAAAAAAAAAAAAGAAGGACGACTTCAAATGCCCATATACACTGATCAAAGATGTATATACTGCGGTAGAGATGGAGTTTGAAGATGTAGTCAGGGAACAGAGGTAGATGCAATCCCCGGATCAGTGAAGATCCCCAGATCAAGGAGACAAACGTTCCACAAGACAGCAAGGAAGCAGTCACAGCTCCACCAAAGAGAAACACCACTCCTTCACTTCATATCAGCGGCATCTAGGAGGAGATACTCCTCATAAAAAGAAAAGCCCATGGTGAGGTACATTTAAAAAGCATTTATTAAATAAAACAGGATGCATCCAGAGTATATATGAAAATGCACACCGCTAGTAAATAAACATGAAAACTAGCAATGGAGGCGGAACAGGACTAACCGTCCTGTCAGATGTAGTGGCCGCCGGAGCTCCCCAGTGCTCCGACGGCGTGGCGTCAAGGCGTGCGCAGGTTCCTCCTGGGAACCGCCGTCGGAGCACTGGGGAGCTCCGGCGGCCACTACATCTGACAGGACGGTTAGTCCTGTTCCGCCTCCATTGCTAGTTTTCATGTTTATTTACTAGCGGTGTGCATTTTCATATATACTCTGGATGCATCCTGTTTTTTTATTTAATAAATGCTTTTTAAATGTACCTCACCATGGGCTTTTCTTTTTATGAGGAGTATCTCCTCCTAGATGCCGCTGATATGAAGTGAAGGAGTGGTGTTTCTCTTTGGTGGAGCTGTGACTGCTTCCTTGCTGTCTTGTGGAACGTTTGTCTCCTTGATCTGGGGATCTTCACTGATCCGGGGATTGCATCTACCTCTGTTCCCTGACTACATCTTCAAACTCCATCTCTACCGCAGTATATACATCTTTGATCAGTGTATATGGGCATTTGAAGTCGTCCTTTTTTTTTTTTTGAGACTTTTTTTTGGCCTAGGGCCTTCCCCTTCCCCCCTCCCTCATATTTTTGCGGACTTATTTTTATTTTTATTGACTTTATGTGCGTTTATTTTATTTTATTTTGTTTTTTGTTTTCTTTAGCGCTGCACTTTACTTTTATAGTGATGAACATATCTTCACAAAATCAGCTTCACTGGGGTGGACATAGCAATTGAACTTACCAGGGAGAAATATGCATCTGGATCTTTATTCCATAAGTATGCAGGGATTTGTGGGGCAAGATTTTTTTTTCCCTATTATGCAACATACCAAACAAGGGAACTAGTATATTGAGCAGTAAAAACGGAGTATATAGTAGTAATCCTTTATTGGGAACATTATCTTACAGGGGTAATAATGCTTGCTTCACAATCCCTTGCACTCTATGCAACTCCGTAATTGAGATAGCCACTTCTCAAACCATTATGAAGCTCCCTGAGGTCAGGATTCTGCTTTCATGCACACAAATAGGTAAAATAGGTAAGGAGTGAAAAAGTAGGGTGACCAGAGGTCTCCAGATAAAAAGCGTCCCCAGTAAAAAAAAAAAAAAAAAAAAAAACTGCCAACTTACTGAAAATCAGCTTTAGTTTGGTTGCCTGTTGATTCATCTCACCCAACCACACACCCTTAGCCATCTGCTGACACTGATCTGACAAACACCCTATACATCTTCTCACTCTTACCCAACCTGTTTACCCACACCCCAATACCCAACCTGTCCATCTACCACCTCATGGCTAACCTACCTACCTCCTCAAACCTGACCAATCCACTTCTCTTTTAAGAATGCATATTGTCACAATTACCTATTTGTTGCCCACGTTAGGTCATGATTATCCACTGTTGCCCAAGAATTCTACAACTGCAGCATAATTTGCAAGGATTAAACATGACCAGCCAATGCAAGGTATTTATGAGTATAATTCATGGCTAGGAGTGGTTTTGGATTGGAAGTCTCTTTGACATAGGGTGCTGGGCATATGGCATTCTAAATTATGACTTACTGACCTCTCCTGTGCATCATGTATTCCTGACCCACAGCATTGTAAGCCCAGGTTTATTTAACTAATCCCCTCCTATGGTTAGCAATATCTAACCACACCCAACACTATTATCCCCCGCCTTCTACTCTGTCCTGTCCCATCTTCATTAAAAATGGGTATGCTCAAAAAGGGTGTGCTCAAATTGCATTTTGAAACGGTTAATCACCTTATCCAAAGCACACCAGCCTGCAGGCCTAAATGCCTGTGGTTTGATGTCTGTTGTGTAGGGGAGGTCAAGGCCAGGCACAGTTTATTCCCTTTAATGTTATTGAAATGTCACAAAATTACATTTAATTGAACTCTATGCACAGCAGCACATTGCAACACTCTGCAATGTGGGGATTTGCACTACATAAAAAAACAGGCATGTTGCTTTAATAATGCAACATGTACCACTGCACCTGTAAGATGTGAACAGGGTACATGATTAACAACAGTTTTGTACATACATTATGCATTATTGATTTAAGCAATTAAATGAAACAACTCATGGTGGTGTGAACAAGCTCTCAGTAACATTTTTTTTTTTTTTTTTTTTTTTTTTTAATAAAAAATTTAAAAATCTAAAGTGCTTTATCCCCTTCATGAAGGAGGATAAAGCCAAACCCTAATGCCTGAACCCAGTTTTGCAACTTTGACGTGTCAACAAAGCTGCATTTATCATTGCAACTACTTCGTGTATCCAGGTAAAATATACCATTTTTTTCAGGACGAAAATTGGTAATTGATGGTATATGGCAATGGATAGCTCCCGATTTATTTTCGCTTTATCAAAACAAAATGGTCACAAAATAGCAAGAAATATACAGCTACATTTTTTTTCCTCTCTCTATTACCATAACCTACTGCCAAAAAATAATCCAAAATAACTTCTGCTCCTAATTATCGCAGCAATACCAAATATGTATAGATTTGTTGTTTGTACCTGAAGTATAGCCCAGGAAAAAAAAAAAAAAAAAAAAATATATATATATATATATATATATATATATATATATATATATATATATATATATATATATATATATATATATATATATATATATAATAATAATAATAATATATATCTCAAAAATGTGTGCTCTTACCTAAACACACCGGTGACCATAACGGTCACCGATACTCATTTTACAAAGATTTTTATCCCACCCAAAATATACTGGTCCCTGACCAACCATCAGCTTGTTCAAAAAACACAAAAAACACAACACCTCCCAAAAAAATACCAAACCACACACAGGGGTGGGCTATACAGTGCCTGATTACTGCGATAGCTAATTAGAGGTTATCACAGCAATCAGATGATCAGGAATTTGGCCTCCTGCTTCCCACATCATTATGGGACCAGGGGCTCTCAGTGACACAGATACACATGAGGCCCATGTATAAAGACAATTTCTGTAATGCATACAGTTGGTGGGAAGGGGTTAAGCAAGTATATTTTTTTCAACTGGAAAACATCCCTGCTCACCAGGGTTTGGTTCTGTACTGGGGGTGCCCATTCATAAGTCACAGTGCTGATGGAAACATCTTTCTTTGCTGCCACAGGATTAGTCAAAATCATCACATTCCGCTTATAAGTGGGAATTCCATCACTTTTCAACTTTGCGATGAGGGTTGTATACTTTGTATCTTCAAATAGTTTGCCAACTTTATGGTCATCTTCATTATTTGATCCAACCTCATGTTCTTCTTGTCCACATTTGCAATTTCTGCATATTTTTCTAGAAGTTTCAAATACATTAGTTAACACACTTAAAAATGATCAAGATATAAAAACTTAAGTGGGTAGAGTTTACACCATATTCATAATCCCAAAAACAATGACTACAGTAGAACATATAGGATGGCAAAATGTAGAACCACCTATTGTAGATTAGATATTGCTAAGGCTTTACTGGTGACTGCAATAATATTTTTGTCCAAAAATTGGGTCTGATGTTCTCTGCTAAACTGAAAGCAATATTAAACCCAAAAATTTTATATATTGCAGCTTACCAATCATCAGGTGTGGTGGCAACATCAGTTTTCTTCTCCTAGGCTTTTTTATCCAATACAGGTGGTGTGTTACTAACTAGAACAGCAGGTAAAAACAGAATGGGCACAGGGGGCACTTTTAGACAGCAGCATTGTCAATCTGGGGAGAGGGGAGTTGGTAGATATACTAGCAGATTTAAATACACTAGCCAAACTCCAGCTAATATTTCATAATCAGTTCCAGCAGTTTTTTCTTTTCAGGATTAAAAGATTTTATATACCGTAAATAAAGCCGATTATTGTAAGCACCTCTGCTTGTGTTAAATGGGTTGTCCCCTCTCTAACTGATGTAAAGATGAATGCAACTATCACATCTGAGAAACGGTAAGACATGAAATAATAAAATGTTTGCTTTTGGGTTTAATATCACTTGAAGGTTTATGGTTTAGTTTGGAGGCAAAATGCATACAATAAACAAGCTAAAAAGCCCAATAGCATAGCTATATTTCCAAATCCAACCTACAAATAGCATTACAGAACCAGAATATGAAGTCTGCAATACAATGTACACTTATCAAGGATCAAGTTACCAGTCTCTTTGATCACAGAAAGAAAATTAGACTTGTTTCGGGGTATGACAGTCCTAACAATTGGACAATATTGCTATAAGCTTGCCATTTTGTCATCTCACCACAGATCAGTCTTCATTTATACATACTGTACATATACAAATTGGTAAAAAAAAAAAAAAAAAATAGCCTTACCAATGTGTATGAAACACACTCAAATACTGTATATTGAAGGAGGTTTGCGCATTACCTTTGTTAGCTTGAGTCTTCCTCAAATGATGCTTATGAACAGGGCTGTTGTTATAAATCATGGGGTCCTGTACTACCTGACTGCCCCCCTTCAGAATTACAAAAGTGATAACTCTTTAAAATCTTCTCCCCCCCCCCCCCCAATTTAAAAAATTTTTTTTACAAAAATTTAATATATACTTTTTTCTTACATTGTTTACTTTTTTTACAACGCTGTTGTGGGGGAGCTTGGATGAAATATTAGGGATTCCTGACATCTCACCTTTGAGACAGAGAAAGGCATTGAGGGCACACATTCTTCAGTTCCTTTCTCTGTGTCCTCAGCTACACTGAAGATGAATGAACAGGAGACAGAGGCTCCTGCTCCTTCATAAACTGAAGCATAGTAAAAACACAGGGATTGGTGCGGCAGGACAATTACAGAACGATGCACTGTGTCTCTCCCTCCAGAAGCTGAAAGCCAGCAGGAAGGGAGATGGGGAGAAACGAGCTTTCAGCTGCTAGGAAGAAGAGACACAGACAGTGCATTGTTCTGTACTTTTCCTTCCGTCCCGCCGCACCAATCCCACTGCTGTCCGGGTCCCCCCTGTGTGCCCAGGCCCCCTACAGGCCTGGTGGTACTCCCCTAATTGGCAGCCCTACTTAAAAAACAAGGTGTGCAAAACCGGTTTTTACTAATATTTCTATTTATTCCCAGATTCAAAGCAGAATGCTACACCTAGAACACTACATTTAATTTGCTTCACATTCAGATGTAAAGAGCAGAATCAATACCACGGTTACTTGCAAGGGACTTAAATTGAGCACTACTTTTCCTTTAAACGGAGAGGCCAGGAAAATAAAAATATTCCTCTACAAGTCCTAATCTAATGAATGCTGAATTTACTTATGTTCAAAACTCTGAAATTAATGGCTGAAGACCATCATCTGGTCCACTTATCTCTATGTATACAGAAAAAGGATCCAGAAGAGCTCTTAGATGCTCATTAATTTCTAACATCTTAAATCAAATCTCAGTTTTCAGTTACAGGCATGTTAAAAAGGGAAACTGCAGAAATCAAACCTAACTTCAAAAGTCTGTAAATATAATTTAGTATGAAAAAACGGTCATATGAAATTATGTTGCTATCCTTTGGTACTCCCCACTAGCTGCACAAAATTCAAGGTATTCTCTTGTCTGGCTACTAGTGTGCCCAGCTGTCTATTTCTCAGCTGATCTGTCAGAAAGAGGCAACTGTCAGTAAGAATCAGTGAAAGGTTGTGAAATTAGCAATTTACACCAATAATTAATTCAACATTATTCAATGAAAGGGTTCTTGCAATTCAGGTATGTTCCAAAAAACCTTGATAAACTAGAAATACAGAAAGATGCATCAAAAATGCTAATGTAAACCAATGAATCTGGATAAAGACTTACTTTTAAAGAATAAAAAACAAAAAAAAAAAAAAAAAAAAAGAAGGGGGGGGGGGGGGAGGAGGAGAAGTTGATAGAACAGCTATAAAGGAAAGTCAAAATGTTTCACTTTCAGTGTCATCCTATGGACTATATATGCAGTATTTTCACCTAGCTGTATAAATGCTATCAATGTGAATACCTGTTTTATTGCAAATCACATTAAATGGCATTTTTTGCCTTTTTCAGAAAACCTTTTCTAGTTATGTTTAATCCAGACCACTTTCTAAAGTATAGTAACACACAGGGAGAACAGCTAAATTTTTCATCAAACATACAATAAAAGTCGAACTCCAGGCATAATTTATGCAGTTGTGCATTCCTTTAAAAATAACTACAGTTGCAAGAAAAAGTATGTGAACCCCTTGGGATTACGTGGAGTTTTGCATGAATTGGGCATAAAATGAGCACGAACATTAGATGTTGCCACGGTTTAATTGCACATAACATGTAAACATTCACAGTGCAGGGAGGAAAAAGTATGTGAGGCCCTAGTTTAATGACTTCTCCCAGAGCTAATTGGAGCCAGGAGTGAGCCAACCTTGACTCCAATCAGTGTGATGATATTGGATATGTTGCCGACAGCTGTCCTGCCCTTAAAAAAAACACACCTGTTTTGGGTTTACTGGTTTCAAGAAGCACTGTCTGATGTGAACCATGCCTCGCAGAAAAGAGCTCTCAGAAGACCTACGATCAAGAATTGTTGACTTGCATGAAGCTGGAAAGGGTTACAAATGTATCTCCAAAAGCCTTGATGTTCATGTGTCCACAGTAAGACAGACTGTCTACAGATGGAGAAAGTTTAGCACTGTTGCTACTCTCCCTAGGCGTGGTCGTCCTGTAAAAATGACTGCAAGAGCACAGTGCAGAATGCTGCATGAGGTAAAGAAGAATCCCAGAGTGTCAGCTAAAGACCTACAGAAATCTCTGGCACATGCTAACATTTTTGTTGACACATCTACAATAAGGAAAACATTAAACAAGAATGGAGTACATGGGAGGACACCACGGAGGAAGCCATTGCTGTCCAAAAAGAATATTGCAGCACGTTTGAAGTTTGCAAAAGAGCACCTGGATGTTCCACAGCACTACTGGCAAAATATACTGTTTACAGATGAAACCAAGATTGAGTTGTTTGGGAAGAACACACAACACTATGTGTGGAGAAAAAAAAGGCACAGCACACCAACATCAAAACCTCATCCCCACTGTAAAACATGGCGGAGGGAGCATCATGGTTTGGGGCTGCTTTGCTGCCTCAGGGTCTGGACGGATTGTTGTCATTGATGGGAAAATGAATTCCAGAGTTTATCAAGACATTTTGCAGGAAAACGTACGACCATCTGTCCGCCAACTGAAGCTCCGCAGAGGATAGGTGATGCAACAGGACAATGACCCAAAGCATACAAGTAATTCAACAAAACAATGGCTGCAACAGCACAGAATACACCTTCTGGAGTGGCCCAGTCAGAGTCCTGACCTCAACTAGATTGAAATGCTGTGGCATGACCTTAAGAGAGTGATTCACACCAGACATCCCAAGAATATTGCTACACTGAAACAGTTTTGTGAAGAGGAGTGGTCCAAAATTACTCCAGATCATTGTGCAGGTCTGATCTGCAACTACAGGAAACGTTTTGTTGAGGTTATTGCTGCCAAAAGGAGGGTCAACCAGTTATTAAGCCCAAAAGGTTCACATACTTTTTCCTCCCTGCACTGTGAATGTTTACATGTTATGTGCAATTAAACCATGGCAACATCTAATGTTTGTGTAGTATTATGTTCAGCAGACTGTGTTCTTCTATTGTTGTGACTTAGATGACGTTCAGAGCACATTTTATGCCAAATTCATGCAAAACTCCACGTAATCCCAAGGGGTTCACATACTTTTTCTTGCAACTGTATATGTATTTTTACATAGAGCTAGCAAAAGCATTAAACACACACACCACACACACACACACACACACACACACACACACACACCGTCATGCTGTGCACAGCAGCATTCCAACTGCAAGAGGGACGGGCAGAATTAAGGCAGACCATAAAATTTATTCTCCCCCCACCCCCATGTTCACATTCTGTACAACCAGTCTGCCCATAGATGGATTGAAATTCAGCTGGTCCCTGCCAAACCGGGCTAATTATGAGGGTCCTTTTCACACGATGCGGACCTGTTTAGCAGATTCGCTTGCTCATCGGGGGATCTATCCACTGAGCAAGCGGATGACAGCTCTGTCTGTTCCACTGCTGCAGAGAGTTTCTGGTTCTCCTCAATGGGCGGTCGGATGAAAATGGACAACCTGTCCGTTTTCATCCGATGCGACAGGTGGATTCCCATTGGACACTTCTGCATTCGCATATGCTGACTGGAACATGCTGACAGAAGAAGATAACAGAAGTAAAAACACAAAAGGTTTTTCTGGTGTGATGATGCTCTTGTTATTCAATCAACAGGCCAGGGGTGGGGAGGGGGATAATTGTATATTTACAAACCCAATTCCAAAAAAGCTGGGATGCGGTGTTAAATCTACATAAAAACGAACACAAGGATACAAAACTTAGATTTTATTCACAATAGAAAAAACAAAAATGTTTAAAGAAAAAAAATACCAATTTATAAAAAAACAAAACAAACTAAAAACCACACATACAACCACCACCCACAGTTATCTAGATGGGGGTATATGCTTCTCAAAAACCTGGATATATCTTTCAGCTTGAATGGTGCCTTTCCAGATCTGCAAGCTGCCTATTCCATACACACTAATGGATCAACAGAGCATGCAGGCTTTTGAACTGAGTGCTGATAACAACCTGGAAGGTTACTCTCCTTTTTAGTCTGGAGGATGTGGCACCCATGGCTGCAAAAAAATGTCAAATTTTGATTTGTCTGACCACTGAAAACACAGACCATTTTTAATGAGCTTTGGCCCAGAGAAGACAACAGCATTTCTGGGTCATGTTCAGTTCGAGCCTTAGCTTGCATTTTTGGATGGCACAGTGAACCGTGTGATTTTTAAAATTATTCCTGAGCCCATGCAGTGATGTCCATCATAGAAACATGCCTGCGTTTAATGCAGTGCCATCTGAGGGCCTGAAGATCATGGGCAACTAATATTGCCTTTTGGTCTTGTCTCTTGTGCAAAGGGATGATGATGATATTATGTACTGTAGATGAAGATATTGAAAGTTTTTGCAATTTTATTTTGAACATTATTTTGATATTGTTCAACAATTTTTAGATGCAGCTTTTCACAGATTGGTGAGCCTCTGACTCACCCTTTGCATAGCCAATCATGTTACTGACCCATTGCCAATTAACCCAATTAGTTGCAAACTGTTCTTCCAGCTCTTGTTAGTACTGCTTACGTTGCTAGCTTTTTTTGCCCTGTCCCAACTTTTTTTTTTTTTTTTTTTTTAGATATTTTGCTATAATCAATTCCAGAATAAGCAAATTACAATTTTTTTTTCTTAAAATGGTACAATTTTCACAGTTTAACATATTGGGAACATAAGGGAAACATACCACTAATGCAATAAAAGAGGAATAAAAAACAAATACTGTATGCACTCACATGACCCCAGCAGGGGTGTGCACCTTTATATCCTGTCATGGACATATGGATATTGTGTTGACCAGGGACACAGCCTGGTAAACGCCAGCAGAATCCTTCCTCTGTACTCAACCAGCAGGCTCGAAAGACAGAGCACTCCCGGCTCCTGACATCTACCAATCCCTCCCCGGGTTCTGAGGAAAAAAAGGTATACAGATATCCCTCTGACAGAGTGAATCATGGGTCACTCCTACACTTTACATAGGGGGCTGCCGGGACGATAAGTGTTTTGGGGGCGTATCCCCCTTTTATCAAGTCTGTTGGCAACACTGACTTTTAGTGTATGAATAAGAGTAATGCCTACTTATTATACAGGACTTATATAGCGCCAACAGTTTGCTCAGCGCTTTACATTATGGAGGGAGATAGTACAGTAACAATACAAGAGGGATTAGAGGGCCCTGCTCCTTGACATTATTAACCCAACTAGATTGTTAAACTCCAACAGTCTCTTCCAGTAACCCTTATGATGTCTTTCAGTAGTTCAGTAAGACATTAGGTAGCCAATTTGCTGAATATTATATTAACATATTTAAAAGTAAAAGGAAGCTATAAACAGTGATCCTGCTGCTCATGCAATGACCAATACCATGGAATATGCAGTTCAATTTTGGGCACCAATTCACAAATAACATTGGGGAACTGGAGAAAGAACAGAGAAGGGCAACCAAACTGATAAGAGGCATGGAGGAGCTCCGCTATGAGAAAAGATTAGAGGAACTGAATGTATTCGCTCAAGAAGAGGAGAATAAGGGGGGAAATGATCAACATGTATAAATACATCAGTGGTTCATACAGTAAACCCGGTGTAGAGCTATTCACCCTGAGGTCATCACAGAGGACAAGGGGGTATTCTACGTCTGGAGGAAAAGAAAATTTAATCTGTAAAAACACAGAAAGGTTTCTTCACAGTACCAGCTGTGAAAATGTGGAATAGACTAGCCAGCTCATTGGATTGCTATAAAAAAAAAAAAAAAAAAAAAAAAAAAAAAAGGCCTGGTTTCTTTCTTAGATACACAGAATATAACTGGATACTAACATTTATAGGTAAAATTGTTCCAGGGAATATCCGATTAAGTCTTGGGGGATCAGGAAGCAATTTTTTTCCCCTGCAGGAGCAAACTGGTTCATGCTTTGCTAGGTTTTTTGCCTTTCTCTGGATCAACTGTTGGTATAGGATTAAAACTTTTTTTTTTTTTTTTAAATGGTTGAACTGGATGGACTTTTGTCTTTTTTTCAGTCAGACTAACTATGTAACCATGCCTGAATGAGAAATTAACAACTTACTGCTACTATAGGGAGAAAGTGGTCAAAACAATCTTTGCAAAACCAGAACTTTAATTCCTTTTCTCAATAAGAAGAGAAAGTAAAGCAATAACCCTAATGTTCATTTTGCTTTAGTCTGTTAGACAAGGTCTCAAGACTGGCAACTGATTCTGTACCTCCTAAGGAGACAACGGTCTGTCCTAAAGTCTTGTTGGGTACAGCGTTCAGATAATTAAAAATCTTAGACGTCTGTCTACCTTTAGTAACCAAAATAATAATCTATTATATTGCTGGGTTTAATAAAAGGGAACAGTGCAATCACCATTTATAGGTTATATTTTGAGAACTTTCTAGGTTTTAGCGACAGCAGCTTTCCCCCTTCCAGATATTTGTTTATACATTTTTTTCCCTCACATGGTGCAGACTATTTTTTGTTATCTTGTTATGTTTCTCACTAGAAGTAATAAAACTTTCCTTAACTTGCAGATCAGGAAAAAAAAAACAAAAATCAAATGCTATCCATGTAGTAGTACCAGCTTAAGAGTAAAAACTCAAGCCAAAAACACTTTTTATATAGGTTTTTATTGCTGGGGAGAGGTTCCTTCCCTTGCCATCTTGGTGACAATGCTGTCACTGGGATAGGAGGTGTGAGGAAGGGATATCTCCCAAATGAGACCACAGACAGCAGCAAAAGAGCTAATCTTCCACCACTCTTTTCTGTTATTTAAAAGTAGCTGAAAATCCATTCTGAAGGAATAGTACATTAATTATAGCTAATACAAGTAATACCATTTCAGTTTTACTTATGGATCATGTCGCTTCATGTGGCATGTCTATGTCAAAGGATGGATAGATTACCCGATTATACAGTTAAACAAATTTATAGGGGAAGAAACACTTACCTCCAAAAGTGAAGCTCAAAACCCTCACATTTATCCTTACATTTTAAGCAAGGTGCTCCAGCTCCTTCTTCATGACCTAAAGTCATCTGTCAAAAGAAAAATACACAGTGATAAATATACATAACCCTATCTTTTACATTTTCCAGGTTCCTGAGCCTAATACAATGGATTATTAAAAGACAGGAGACAAGAACAAGAGTTGTAAAGGTCGATTCATGCAGCATGCTGTACATTAAATGGTTTTATATAGAGATCGAGTAAACATAGGCAAAGCCATTAGAAAAAAAAAAAAAAAAAAAAAAAAAGGGGGAGGAGGTCTTGTAAAGCATTTCTTGCATAACATTCGGTTTTTGATATACAGCACCAGATAAAGGATAATATTACATTGTCACTGATTTATTGGTGGTATTAAAATAGTTTTTGAAAGTAAATTCTAATACTATTAAGGCAGTGAAATGGAGTCTATATGTCAGAGATATTTAAAAGTATACTTTCCCCATTTGCAAACTATCCATTTCTTCAATATGACAGTTTGCTCTATATGTCAGCCTGCCATAGATGGATCGAATCTTGGCTGGTTCAGCAGGGACTGGCCGAGATTCGATCCATCTATGGGTAGGTGGATTAGACTGACCAATAAAATGCAGAACCAGACTGATTTTTTTCATACGATCAATGCCGGTGGAAGTGTGTTGATGGGGAAAATCAAGTAATATTCTTTCCTTCCACCTGCGATTGTGCAATTTTCTTTCCTTCAATCTATGGGCTGCTGTAAACCTTTTAAAGAAAGATAAAAAGGGAATGTGTCTGGAGTCCAATTCATCCAAACACATTAGCGGTTACAACATCTGCCTTAGGTAGAACAAAGAAATCCCAGAAATTCAAATTGTCGGTCCTTCCAATGTGCACCTTCTTTGCCAGTTTCAGATTGAGAAGCTGCTTAATATAGAGATTGTGCTTTGTGAAAATCCAAAAGATGACTTTTTGATATATAAATAAAAAAAAAAAAAAAGGGGAAGAACCAATGTGGAAGTTGCCCCACTCCTCACTGTGGTGCATACTCTTAAAAAGCCCAGACTAGGGAAAATGCAATTTAAGATCCAAGAGCTCGGTTGGAGATACATGAAAGCTGTATACTATGTCAAGAAACCCGATTCCTGCTATCCTGGTCTAATTAATAAGAGAACTGAGAGCCTCAAGTTAGGCCTTCTCTCTGTTCATGGTTATGCCCATCCCAACTTTTTCCTTTTATTTTAAAATGCATAACTACTGCTAGAGCTTTAGAGTGTCTCCATTGTTGAGGCTATATGTTTCGCTTACAGATAAGATTGTATAAACAAAGCCATAAAAAGAATACTCGGTCATCATTTCCTAATGCGGAACTAAACCCACCTAATAATTTCAGCCAAGGAAGCTGCCATCTTAGCCTTTGTTTGACCACATGTGCAGCACCATCGCAGCTGCCCATAGATGGTTTGAAATTTGGCCACTTCCAGTTGAACAAGCTGAATTTCGATCCATCTATGGCTGGCCTTGGGGTGTCTGGATTCTGGATGAAGTAGTAAAGCAGACACTTGTATAGTAGCATGGTTAGTCTGAGAAGAGGGTAGTGGTAAACTAGAAAATTTACATGAGCTTGGTTAACACTGAAACTGAGCTCCAGCTAACACTTTATTAGCAGTTACAACAGCTTTTTCCTCTTGGCATAAAAAGGTTTACATACAGTAAATTGATAAAAGCTGGCCATTTTAAGCACCCCTGCCAGCCGTAAAGGGTTTGTCTTCACCCTCTGATTGTCACTTTGTCTGGAGAGCTTTACTGGCTGAATCAAAATAATTGTAACCTGCAGTACAAAAACTTTTGATTTAACCCTTTTGCTGTCAAATCTGTACAATGTACAGGCGGCTTTTACACACACTCCCTGTGGCTGCAGCCACAGAGCATCTGTATACCTGACAAGCAGACTCCTCAGTATCAGAAGAAGCAGTCCAGCTCCTCCGGATTGCTTCCACACACTCTTGGTAACGTGTGCGCCCCCCCATATTGTATCCCGGGCTCCAGTTGCCCATCTAAGAGCCCAGGACTGGCATAGTGGGTGCCTCCAGGTAGGGGGAGGGGAGCTAAGGACACACATCCCCTCTCCTCCCCTTCTTGCTGCCGACCTGGAAGAGACACACACGTCTGCTTTGCATTACATTTAGTGGTGCACAGGGGAGATATGCAGGGTCTTCGAGGCCCCGGATGTCTCATTAAAGAAAACTGGTCACCAATAAATCATCAGAGGACAGGAAAAAAAAAAAAAAAAAAAAAAAAAAAAAAAAAAAAAAAAGTAAAATATTAAAGTCACGCCCAAGCGCATAAAATCCCCCCCCCCCATAAATATTTGAAGCTTCCCCCCACATATGACCCTAAAAAACACACACAAAAAAGTTGTTTGCGATACACATCTTGCATATCACTATGCATGCTGGAAAGAGAGCAATGTTTCTAGCATCAGACCTCCTCTGTAACCCTAAACTGATGAACTATATGGGGCTTTTAAAGAGTCGCCTATGGAAAATATGTTACTGAAGTTTGCCACCACATCACAGGTTTGACATGTTAGATATCTATTTACTTGGTGCAACCTCATCTTTTATAAAAGATGGGTAATTTGTGTTTTTGTGCCCTAATTTTAACTTTTTAGTGTATTTTTGACCGAAATTGTGTTTCCTAGACCTTTGCAGTAATAGCGTGCGACATAAAAAAATTGAAACTACTACGGTTTATTCTCTAGGGTGTCAGCTTTCAGTTTTACATACATTTTTGGGCCTAAAATGATTTTTTTTTAAAGATTTTTTTTTTTTTTTTTTTTTTTTTTAAACAAGTGGCTCCAACATCAAAAGGGTTAAAGTGGTTGTAAACCTCAGACATGAGAAATTAAAAACATATCCCACTATATAGTGTGTGCCAACTTGAATCCAAAAGCACAGAGTCTGGTTTTTCTCTGATCTCTCATCACTCTGCTAATCTATTAGCAGCGAGTCATGCATATACCAAACACTTCAGCCTCCTGTGAGATGGACAAGACCCACGCCCTGCACACAGCAGATGACCCAAAGACTAAGCTTAGTGTTTCTCTGAACCTGTATACAGCAGGGTGTGTCCCTTACCTCCAATCAGCTATCAAATCATGGAGCTCTGTGCTCTAGCTCTGCAGTGAGTGATGTCAGATCCCCACCTCCTTGCTCTCTGCTGCTGTATAAAATGTGTGTTATGGAAGACTGTAGGGGAAAGAGCTACAGATAAACAGGTACAACGTATGTAGGAGCCTGCTGCATGCTTGACGACATCAGAACATTCCACTGCTCAAAAGCACTAAAGAGTGGGCGTACAGGAGCTACAGGGACCAGTCCTGAGCAGAGAGGGTCAGGTAAGTATATCTTCCCTAGACTGATCATCTGAGGCCAGTCATTTCACTTGGTATATGCAAGTGTTTACAGCCACTTAAGGGAAGTTTTTTTTTGTGTGTCAAAGAGGGGAAATTAGAAGAGCAATGGCAAGTGATAGCACACCGATTAAGAATGACAGCACAGACACATAGGAAAACCCAGTGCAAGTTGGAAAGGTCTCATACCAAAAGAAAAAAATGCACACATACTTTTATTTCTCTTGGCTTTACTAAAGCAGATGTAGTCCCTGTAATGTGTTTAAGCTCTTAGAAATGCCAGCCTTGAAGTCCAACTCCAGAAGGGGGTAAAAAAAAAAAAAAAAAAAAAAAAAAAAAAAAAAAACACACACACGTTTTCCCTTGCAGTGGGGTCAGGCCCACACTGCAAGAGTTAAGTGCTAGTCTTGTCCAGGGTAGAGGAGAAAGCCTTACAGTATACTCATCTGATCCTCTGCTCCACCAGAATAGGACGCTCCCCCACGATCCAGCGGTGGACTGTTCCTGGCAGCCTCACATCCAGGACAGGGTCTATGGAGCCTGCTGCATGCTCGAGGACATCAGAACATTCCACTGCTCAAAATCACTAGAAAGCAGGGGTGCAGGAGCTACAGGGACCAGTCTTGAGCAGAGAGGGTCAGGTAAGTATATCTTCCCTAGACAAAAACAAGCAATTAACCCATTAACCCTTACAGTGCAGTCACAGCTCCACTGCAAGGAAATTTTTTTGCCCAGAGTTCAGCTTTAAATTTATCAAGCTAAAAAAAAAGCATGGCTCTGTAGAATGGTAGGGGACAGAATTGAGAGCCAGTAAGCATTCTGAAACAGAAAAAATGGTTTTGTGTCACATGGACAGACAAGTAGGCTGGGAATTATTATTATTATACAGGATTTATAAAGCACCAACAGTTTGCTCAGCGCTTTACAATATAAAGGGAGACAATACAGCAACAATACAGTTCAATACCAGAGGGGTAGAAGGGCCCTGCTCCTTGGAGCTTACAATCTAGGAGATATACTTTGCTGGAAGTTACAAAACAGGTAATCCCAAGGCCTCAGTCATTCATTATGGTGCGTTAAGATGTGCAGAGTTAAAAAGAACAAGTTCACCTTTAATAATAATAAAAAAAAAAAATTATAATCACTTTTACAGGCTGCAATGTAGGAAAAAAAAATGCATGCAAAAGCATTGTATCCTCATCAGATCGCGGGTGCAAAGCCAGACTCGAGTAGACGAAGTACACGCTCTGCCTATGTTTCATACAGGCAGGTAGTTACTAAATTGCAGGAAGACTCAAAACTAGGAGACAGGTCGCCAGCGCCTTTGCAGTTCATTAAGAACTACAAGCAATCAACTGAAACGACTGATGGTAGTTGTAGTTCATTCACAATATTCTGAATGCAGTTTTTAAAAATTGTGACAGCAGGTGTGAAGTAGAGGCAGGAGCTGGAACATGTTACATGTTTTACTCTAAATACAGGTGGGACGTGTAACATGTTCCAAACGTAAACTTATCCTTTAAGGCGGCCTATTTATTTTGAATGAACAGGATAGACATCACAATGTGGTTCATTGTGTACTGCAGTGCAGATGCATTGCCCAATACCATAAAAATGTGTGGGGGAACCATTCATAAGAAATGCACGTTTTACCACACATTAC